GACACCAGATAGTACTGCAGGAGCAAACAGGTAATCTCTGTTCTTGGCTTGTTCTGCTTCTGAAACATTCTGTTCATTATTGACAGCATTTCCTCATTTTTCTCCTACTATCTCTTTTTATGGAGAAAGTAAATGTGCTTTTTTTCTTAGAACTTTCACTTACTTACTGCAACATAAATAGGTTTATTACTTCCAATTATTTATAGGGAAAAGAATATATCTTTCGTATTTTCAGATTTTCATATGATGATGCATTTGTTTTCCTAAGACTGAAATTTTACAGATGAAAAATGACCAATTGTCCATGGAGTGGGATGATTACTGAGGGTCACAAATCACTAGAACTAATGTCTCAGTTACGTTTATGTTTTCCTGATGAAACTGACAGTAGATAGCCTAAGCCCCAATTGTAGGCTGCAGAGAGAGACAACAGTGTTCCTAAGGGAACTGAGGCAGAGGTACATGCTCTGGGTCCTATTCTTACACTGAGTTTGAGTCCTCTCTTGTGTTAGTTATGTGACATTAGGCAGATATACAGATAGCCTGAATTTTTTAACCTGTTGAAAAAGGAATATAAGATGAAGACATATCTCATAAGCTCTTGGGGAAGAGGAAATGTGGTGAAACATTAAAATAATTCCTGGGATGCTCTCAGCTTTAGATAAAGGTTTGCTATTACTCTACTTCTACTTTTACTAATTCCCCAAGTTAAACATTCACTAAGCTGCTTACATGAAATTCAAGCACTTGGATAGAGAATAGAAAGAATGAACAGAGAGGCGAGTCACCATGCCACACTTATCTGTCCAGTGTCCTGGGTAAGTTGTTCTGAGTAGCTTAATGACCATCACCCTCATTTACCGAAGTGCAGAAGAGATCTGCCCAGCACCAGCAGTCACCTTCCCCTGCCCCCTAACACACACATTCTCTCAATTTACTGAGAACGCTGCTTCCAGGTATTCACATGTGCTGGCCACCATTCTGGTCCTTGCTTTAATTTGGCTACAAATATGGACTAGGTCACCAGATGTGTTTTGCAATTTGTTAGCCTGTTTTTAAATTTTGCATAGAGCTCAGCCACCATTTGCCAGTGGGGTTAGGATGTGTGTAGTGTGTGCTTGTGCACGCACGTGTGTGTGTGCTTTATAAGTATCTTGGATACTTATATTTGCCAGTGTATTTGTATGTATATATACATACATACATACATATATATATATATATATAATGTGTGTATGTGTGTGTATCTGTCTTGTATTTGTTGGATACTTATGTTGAGGCAGTGTTATCTATTTCATCCACACCCCAGAACCTTGGAACTATTAATGAGTTAAGTATCATAGCTAGTTTTTGGAATTATTACAGGAGTACAAAATGTATTTGAAACTACTAAATTCTTTCTGAAGTATCCAGTCTTCCTAGAAAAAGGATCTATTATTTTCTAATTGTTGGAAAGGGCTATTAACATTTAACATCTAACATGTCAGAAATGGAAAAGTTGAAAAGTTTTAAGCTCTTTAAGGAAAAGTGTGAAAGAAGCTCTTATGGATTGTCTTTAGGAAGGTCAGGTGTACATTTTGTATCTATTGCTCTTTCTTATTTATTTTGCAGTTATGTAGAAATTTCACTTTACATCACATTTATATAATATTTCATTCTTAAAGGGGGAATCCTGTGGTATTCAGAAGTACAACCAAGTAACTTTGTCTTTGACTTATCTTTTTTTTTTT